TGTGGAGGCCCCCTCCCTGGAAGTGTTTAAGACCAGGGTGGATGAGGCTTTGGGCAACCTGGTCTAGTGGAGGGTGTCTCTGCCTGTGGCGGGGGGGTTGGAACCACATGATCTTTGAGATCCCTTCCAACCCAAACCATTCCATGATTCTATGATTCAGTGAAACCACACATAGCCCAAGGGCCATACATCCCTCTTAAGAGATGATCCAACTGCAGCATGTTTATTTTACGCAGTTGGTCATAACACTGGACCACAAAAAACACTGTTAGCTGCCTAAGCTCACTGTACACAGCACATAGAGAATGATGTGCCTCAGAACAGGAACGAAAAAAAAAATAATCCAAAGGCTACCTAAAGACTGATTTTTCACTGGGTCACAGATTCCAGGAGGTGGACACACATTGGTCCTGAAGGGAAAGGTACCTGGAAAAAGCAAATATAGTTAGGTTTAGGCTTCCTGTGCAGGGGGTTATCTGTCAACTGGAAAAGGCTGAGGGAACTATAAATCTAAAATGGTAGCAAACACATAGAGCTAGCCAAGAGGAAATGTGGTGAATGTGTGTGATAGGTCTAGCTTCACCTAATCCGTCATCCAGATCTTAGGTATTTGCAAACAAGCCCTCCCCTGTGGATCTGCAGCTAACTGCAGAGCTCTCCTGGCTGTAGGCATCCTTACGTACCATGTCAGAGAAGAGAGCAGGGCTCGTGCTTATTTCAAAGTGGAGAGAGATGCCTCTTGCCATGCTGCACTAGAACTGGAAGGATAAAGGAGTCCTTCAGGAAGTGGAAAATTGAGATTCAAAACCTTCTTCATCCTGGGGGATGGGGAAGAAACTCAAAACCACATCTTCCACCTTCAGAAAGACTACCCAGACCATCATGCTAGAGCATAAGAGGAGGACAACATAACTACCAGTTCTGTGGAAGCTACTGACCAAGAACACAAGATTTGTGTTGTAGTAACAGCACACTTGGGAAGAACACAACCCCAGGAACTACAGCTGCAAAAATGAGGCTGCAGAATATCTATATCTGTATCATCTATATCTATATCTATATCTATATCTATATCTATATAAATCTTTGAATTCAATCCCTTCCTAACCCTTTGCAGTATGAGTGGACTGCTGACTGGGTGTCTTGAATGGAGTATTCATTGCTGATAAGCTTTCCTAACGTCATTATTTTCCTAACACAGCAGTACAAGGACCAGTTCCACAGCCAAATTTATTCAGCAGAAATTTTGCCTGTGGAATTTGGATCAAAGTTGTAGTGAGGGACCCAGAACACTATTGATGGTTCCTCATGGGCACAGAAAGCCTGCATGGCTCAAGCCTGATCCTCATATTCCTAAGACTGAAGCAGACATCAGTAGAATCAGAAGAAAATACCAAGCTTGAAGAAACACTACAAACCAGACACAAACAGACATCCCAAGTTTTCTTTGTGTCACAGACAAATGACAGAGACCAAGCTACACGTTTTGGTTTTTTGATAATTTTTTTTTTGCATCTGTTTTGGAAAAAATATACAAAAAAAGCCAAGAAGAACCAACATGGAAATGTGAGGTAAACATTCCAGTAAAAGTACAGACAGAGGCTCCATTCTTTAAAGGAGACACACAGCAGTTATCACCATGCTAGAAGAATGAGATGCAGGAAAACCCTAGAAACAGTGAAAAGTCACGTAATGAAGCCTTTGCCCCAGTTCTAGCCATTGTAAATGGGCCTGGTTTTGTTCTTCCCCCCACCCCTCACCCCACTGAATTGTCTTTTTATTCATTAAACAAAGTTGTTAAATTGTGAAATAGCAGTTTTGATATAAATTCTGTACGTCAGAATTTACAAAAATGCAGACTGCTACTACAGACTCTGTCAGGTTTTGGTTTGGTTTGGGGTTTCTTTTTGTTTATTTGTTTGGTTTTTGACTTGCCAAAGCCCCTCAGTCAAAACTACACTGCTGGGGCAAAATTGGCTTCTTGGTCCTGCCAATCTGAATGCCAAGTAATGCCACCCCTCTGTAGAAGTGGTGTCACTTTTCCTTTGCACCAGCGTTACTAGTTACCCCACAAATCTATGATGAAGTTATGAAACACTCACAGCACAGCCTCAGCTCCGCAGTGGTGGCTGTATATCCCCATAGTCAATTCCTGAAGCCAGGTTTCACTGGGAGCTTTAGCTGGGCCTCGGGGAGGAACAGAGATCTAGGGAGATGATATAGTCAGCTCACATGCTATCAGCTACTACTATAACTTCTCATGTCCAGTCTGTCTATATTGCAGACTGAGTACATTGTTTTAGTTATTCTTCAATAACTAGCACAATCACCCACACCAGAACAATCAGGCTTTGATTCAGTAAGATGCTTAAGGATGTACTTCAAGTCTGCCAAGTAGTCAGCAAACTGTGTGGCTAACTGAAGTCCATAATGCTAAGGAATACTTAAGTAGCTCACTGAATCAAGGATGGATGTTTATTATTTGTTGATAGTATAATTCAGGTTAGATTTCTGATCACCATTAATTTAATCTGAGTTAAATATATGCAATTCCTTCAGATCTATGCTGAGCTTACTCAGATCAGAATCTGACCCACTGGTAGAAGCACTTCTCATCGTAAGAAAAGGTAAAAGTGATTTTTTTTTCCCCAAGATATATAAATTCTAAAATGAAAAAAAAAAATTGTGTACAAATATCACATAACAACATCAACAATTCCATAGATTTAGTTCCTCAGTGCACACTTTAAACAAGAAAAGGGTTTTTTCGTTTTTTTCCATTTTGCTTTTAAAGTCTGGCATAATATTAAAGCTGACAAAAAATCAGGGCAAGCTACATCACTTCCTCATACAAAAAAAGTACAAAACATTAGCCTCTAAACTAGACATAACATAATACTGGTCATCACAGTTAGACATTTAATAACTGTGTGTCTTGGAGTATTGTACTGGAGGGTAATAAAAATAGCTTCTGTTGCCAGTCTTCCATCTCAGGTTACTTCAGTCATAGAGGCAGAGTGATTCTGCAAAGAGGAAAAGGCAAACACATGAACATTTGTATACATTTTGGCATTTTAGTGTGTAAAACGAATGAGAAAAACCTTCACTAATAAAATCTGTTGCCTGGCTAATGTAGGGCAAAATGATTGAGCTCCCTGCAAATGTGCTGCCTTCTATTCCAAGCTCGTGGTGGGAAACGCTGAACTCAAGCCCTGCTTCTGGGCTAGGAACACTCTTGCTAACAGGCATGAAAAAGAAGGGGCCACTTCTTCAATGGGGACTTTCAAACTGGACTGGACCCTGTCCAGAAGGACATGTCAGTACAGGCTCAAGCACTTCATACAGTCATGTAACTAACACAGTGGGTCTGTCCTCAGTCCTGAAGAGCCTAAAGACCATGGTTTGACTTCATGTGATGTGTGCATGTAGATCCTACACAGTTTGATCTTAAGGAACATATAGATCTTAAAACCATACACAGATGGGGTCATTATGCCAAAACACATGCAGACACAGATATATAGCAACACAGAAGTCCTCTTCAGGTGGAAACAGTGTTGATGTAACCTTCTTGGAAGCCACTGTCCAGGACTTCAGTGGCAGTACTGAGTCGTTCTTGGATCATGTTGCATCTCCAGGGTTTGTGTGGGTGCAAGGCAAAAGAAGAGTGCGAAGGGATGCAGGAATCTGCACAGAGGACAATACACCTCCTATATCTGAAGAAACAGTAATGAGTAGCCACTCCCAAGGACTTGTTTATAATAGCTTCAGAGTAGGATCACTTTTTTCCCAATCTACTTCTGCATGGTAGATGTATGGTCATTCAGAGACCGATACCCTGAATCAGAGAAAATGATCTTGTTGATTATAGCGGACATCAGCAATTAAGGCCTAGTCCCTACTTGTACTTCACAGTCCAGAAGCTATAAATAGCTGATCGGACAATTTTTTTCTCACAGTCTATGAGTATTTTAACCTGTTCAGCCCTTTTGTCATATATGGTGCAATGTGGATATGTAAGTAGCACTTAGTTTCTGGACTGCAAGACCACCAAAAGAACAGTTAATGCACACAGTTCTGCAGGTTTAGTTGAAAGTCTTCCAGCAAATCTCTGCCTAATCAAAAGTGACTTTTCAATTAGGCAAAATATTTTCAGGTGTTAGAAACAGTGTCTTTTCCATTTTTTTAAATCCTATTTTCAGTTTATTTGTCAAAGGGTTTAACAAAAGTTACTATTGATCCTGCCACGCAACTTGTACAGAGGAACAACAAAGAACAAATAAATTACACTAGGGCATTTCAGATAACTGATAAACTCCAGTTTCTCCTTGTTCCCTGAGAATTCCTGGCAGGTGTCATTTGCTTGCCTGTTTTGAAAGGACTGGGTATGATTCAGTTATGCCGACATAAGCCATTTGAAGTTAGTAGTTAACCAGAAACACCATCAATGATGATGCTCCCGCTAGCCTATTTTTTTGCAAACTTGAAAGAATGCTATTAACTTCTCTTCTGATGACTTAGAGATAAAAAAACAGTATGTGATTTCTTCTTCTACTGAACAGTAGTGAGGATAAAAAACTAATCTCTATAATATTTTTCTGGACAGCATAGTTTATCCTCAGCATTATGAAAGTTAGAGTAAATCCCAAGACATCCCAAAAGCATTCCAAAATGTAATTAGAATTATCTTCACTTTTCCCTCAGTTTTCTGTTGTTCTAAGCAAAACTTTTTTATGACAAACAACAGGCAGAGGCATGTGAAATCCTACTGCTTTAGCTTTGCCTGTGCACAGGGGAAGAAGATCTACAGTATTAGGTAGTTTAAGGGATAAATGCCTTAAAACAAACTCTCCCTGATGCAAATTCACAACTAGTGAATTTTTTTGCTCTGCCATAACAGAAAATGTGCTCGACAATGGTCTGGGTGAGAAGATTTACAGTACCTGTGCACTCAATGTCTCCAGAGGACTTTCCACTCTTGGAAAAGCCATTAGCGGCATTCCCCGTGGGTGCTGCATTCCTCGTGGGTCTTCAGGCTTCGGTTTAGAAGGAGCTCCGTGAATGCCTTTAAAGTTATGGACAACACATATCCCCTGTGTAATGCAGAAAAAAAAAAGTGAGGTCAGCATGTTCTGTCCCCAGGAAAAACTCACAGGAATTACTACCAGGGGCCTCTCAACTGCCAGATTTTGCAAAGAACTTAACCTGGGTTTTGGTTCAAGGCATCATCTATGTCAGCCATGTGCTACAGTGTGTTTACTGACATAGGTGGGCATGGTGGACTACCTTGGTAAATGGGTTAATCTGGCCTCTAATTTGAGGTGATGAACCATTCTCAGCCTTTTTATATTTTCTACAGTGGAGATTCCCATGTCTGCTTTATCATCACAGAACCATGGACTACCCTGATGATGCATTTTATTGGCCAAATATTCCCTTCAGACTCTGATTGTCAATTCCGAACAGTGAAAACAGCTCACTGGATGGCTCAATTTCCCTCACATCTGGATGACATCAAGCTCATTTAGCACTATTCCTGCATACTTCCACACAACTGCTGTGGTATTTATCCTACAAGTCCTTCACTTGTTCATGACCAGACTTACTCCACCTGTATGGTAATGCTAATAAGATTAAACACAGATGGCAGATTGGGGCTTGGGAACATGGTGGAAAAAAGGATATTCAGGTGCTCACACATCTGCTGTCAGATTGATTCCCGAAGGCAGCTTCTTGCTGGCTCTTCCTCTTCGCTGCTCTTTAGACCTGGGCAAGGAACAGGCTGCAGCCTGGGTGAGTCTTGTGCCGGCAGCAATAATTTCAGAGCACCTCTCCCCTCCAGGCTCTGGAGAGACTCCTTCTACCACTCTGCAACTGAGCTTGTGACATTTGCAGAGTGGCAGAAGGTCTGCAGGGCCAAAATGTGGCTTGGAGCAGGCTGTCACTGCTAGAAACAGGTACTGCGAGCACATAGATTGTCTTGACCAGATATATGGGGTGACTGCCTCTTATATTGCATGGGCTAGATTTAAACTGCCTTTCCCTGTGAGAATCAGACAAACTACTTAGATGAAAGCCAAAGAGATTCAGGTCAGAGGTTACAGACATCATTTTATGTAAAGGGAACTCAGGAATAAATGATATGTGAAGGTTTGGTGTGTTTATTTAAGTACAGGATAGAAAAATAATCAGTGACAGGACAATCTAGATTTAAGAGATATTTGAAACCCCGCTCTCCTGACTGCAGGGATAAAGTGTCTGATGCTATGCAGTGAACAGGTTTGAAGCATATTTTGCTTAAATGGAACCAGGCACATTGCTTGGTAATAGTGAAAATCACATTGACTGTTGTGTGGGTAAATCCTCAGCAAGAGACTCCTCACCAAACAAAACACTTAAACTGCACAGCCAACATGAGAGCACATAACATTTGAAGTCCAGAGAGCTGCTGTTCCCAGGTTCTGTGGGAAGGCCTTTGACACATTTTAATACATTTGGTTATCCTACGAGATGGTGAACAATTTCAATTCAAGTCCAAATGCTGCAAAGGGAGGTAGTTTTGTCTCCCAGGGAGTTTGTCCTGACCTTCCTTTCTATTGCACTTCTTTTTTTGGTCTGAAACAAAGTGGGGAACCAAGATCACTGCTTAGAGCTCCAGACAACACCCCGTATCCTACATTTCTGCCAGATACCAGGCAGACAGTAGGGTTTTGCAGCACAGGAGTGTCAGAGACAAAGTCTCAAGCATGCCCCCTTTTTGACATTAGTTGAAATCTACGTCATCTTTAAAGCATTTTCCAGGACAGGTCAAGTAAAAACATGTACAGTAATCAAAATAATGTTGAAATATACACAATGCACAAATGTCATAATATGAGCCTTATTAATTAGTATTAATTAGTATCAACCTGATTTCACATTAGGATTTTCTCTGATGATACTTTTAATTAGGTGGGGCTAGAATTAGGTCTTAGCAACTGGATTAATCAGCTGCAACAGGCCACAAGAGAATTTTTTTTTTTTTTTTTTTACTGAGGTATTTTTAAAAGGAATATGGAAGGACTGATGGGCTTACCAGAAACAAAGCTACAGCAGTCCCCAAGATGAAGCCTGCAATCACGTCCGAACAGTGGTTTCGATACTCAGAAACTCGGTTTAGCCCAGTAAGGAACGCAGCACATAGGGTACCCAGACACAGCACTGGTTTGGCTAGCCTGCTACTCTTTGTTTTAATTGTGCTTGTGATGTACATCTGAAACAAAGAAGAAAGCCAAAAATGAAAAGAGCCTCTGCTAAAATACATCTTTTTTCCACCCAGACAAATCCGAAATCAGCAAGGATGTGAAAAAAACCCATGATTCATTAAAAAAAGCATTGGGAAATGGAGGAAGAGGTCTAAGGTAATTCAGAGAACACTTTTAAGAGAACAAAATAAATACTGTTAAATGCTGTTTCAGGATGTCAAATATCCCATCAACTGCATTTACATAGTGGACTTCTTCAGAGCTGGTATGTACTGGCTCAGTTTTACAGACTTCCTAATGTGCAAGTACTTGCTCATATGCTAGCAAACATACACTCTGAATGTACATGGCTAAATGCAAAGGGAGTAAAGAATTTTGTTTATACTCCTGCAGAAACTGTAATGTGCACATGATGGAGTGCCTAGCATCCATATGAACTTGCTGTTCCAGTTTCCTAAGTGGTGTTAAGTTTAAGAAACAGAGAACATGAAGAGAAACCATTCCAGACATTTTCTCTGTAAGATGAAATGAAAGAATATGAGAGGGATTTCTTTCAAAACAAAGTTGATTCTGAAAAATGTAATTCCAGAACATGACATTTCACTGTTGTCTGAATATTTTTTAATGTACCCTACATGTTTTTCACAGTTTGTATTTTATTTTTAAATGCATTTTGACAGAGAGAGTAAAACCGTGTGGGTCACCATTAGCAGCCAGTCATTAATTCCAGAGCCACAAAATGATGAAGGTCAAGTAAAGCAAGCCCGATGGCAAAACAATTCAATAAAATCCTTGTCACCAAGAAAGTATGGATGCCTGCATGATTTCCAAAGCTTTGATAAACAAAGAAAATACATAAAATACATTTGCCAGAAATGTCTCCAGATGACACACTGCCTCCCATACAAACCTTGTCTTTCTCTGGGATGATTTCATTTCTGGGGAAGGGCACTGCTGAGCACTTTGCCATGGGTGGCACTGAAATCAGAGCGGGACTCTGCAGGATGGTGGAGACCCAAGAGTCCGTTCTCTTTTGTGGCTGCTGCAGCAGCTGAGGACACCGTGCTGGCTCACACTGCCCATCTTGCCCTGGCCAAGACTACAATGGCTGGCTGGGGTGAAGCTGCCTTGGGATTTTCTTGTGCCTGTGCTGAAGGAAGTCTGTGGAGGTTTGGCTTGGTGCTTCCAATTGCAACTACCATCACAGCTTGCTTCACACTCCATGATCTATTTGGCAACCATGGGCAATTATTTTACTGTATTTTAATGCCTGTCCCTTTCTTTATGACCCAAGTATACAGAGGTCACTATGGTCTGGCACACAGTTCTGGGATCAAGAAATAGAAATCATATCTATTCTCAAGGTCACTCTGTTCATTACCTTTCATATATTCCTTTATTCTGCTGTATTGCACATATTTTTTACTCTAACTTTCTCCCTGTCTGTATTTCTTATCCCTTCTCCCTGACCAGGCTATCAAATGTCCCTACAGCTGGCTTCTCCTCGCTGGCTGATATTAAAAATATTAGCCCTAAACCCATTACAACACATAACTGACTTTGGGCTCATACCTAGGCAAAAATATACTTCCACCAGCCAAGAAACTGCAGTACTAGACTTCTAGCAGCTGAATTTGCCAGATCTCTGCTTGGGGAAGTGAAGTCTTCCACCCTTAAATGTGCTGCTGAGCACATGCTTTAAAGGTGCATTCAATTTATGAACTTGAACATTATGGTGTGTAATAGCACTGGAAATGGGATAAAGCTACTGGAGAGGTTCCTGCTTGCTTTGTTTTTCCAACCTGACTGCAGCACATGCCTTGAAGTGACAGATGAAACTGAGCACTAGGTGGCAATCTTGCCCCAGTCTTTCCTGGTGGGTTGAGCTGCACCTGACTCTCGCCGAAACTCACGTTAAGCTTCTTCTTTAGAAACAAAAGAAAAAATATCATTGAAGTGCCACTGTGTGAATAATTACTGCCCATCCTTTCACCCTATATATGTCTTTTAGCAGGGGCCAATTCAGACAAGGAATAGGGAGCCACATCGCTTTCCTATTCCACACCAAAGCACTACTGCAGTTTACAGCATCCAAAGGAAAAGCATCACGTCTTTAAAGTAACAATGCAGTCCTGCTGCGACAACTGCAAACCCTACCTACAGAGAGCAACCCACGCATGCTTGTTTTCTTACAGGGATAAGATGAAGCAGGATCTTTGGGTTACCCACATGGGAGAGCTCTCCTTATTACAGATGGGAAGTATCTAATGCATTTGAAGTTTCACACATCTCAGCAGAAAAATGTAAACTTGTAGTAAAGAGAACATTTTTAGAAATGAGGGTAATTAACCATGTGAACAGATTGCCAAGAGAAATCTGAATTAAAACAAGACAAACTGTTTTCCTAGAAGGTATGCTCCAGTTCATCCATAAATCACACACTGAGCTCAGAAATAACTAGGACAGCTTCTCCATTCTGGTCAGACTTCCTGATCACTGCAGTTTGATCTTTATTGTCCTGGTCCCTAAAGCCAAGATATATTTTAAGATTCTCACAATGTGTTTACCCTTTCACTTAGAGCATGTTTTCAAAGCCTTGTGTAAAAGCCAAAAATCTCAGTGAAAGTCACTTACATTTGATTTCCTACACACAGCAGGTGCTTTTAAAATTTCTCACAATGCTATTTATAGGGTAAATTTATGTACAAAATTCTAAATGTCAAACCTAGTTATTTGATGGGTGGGAGAAGAAGCAAAGAAGTTAATATAAAAAGATGTGAAGAAAATAGAATAAATCATATTAAAAATAAACTACCTATGATTTAACTATATAAATTACCTGTTCAGCTTCTTTGCTGTGCTTTTATCAGTATATTCAAGCAATGTATTTAGAAACGTGCACTGTGTGATAGTAGCACACATCCTGTGTATATGTGTTCCTCTCCTATTTTTTTCAGACTGACAAAAGCACAGACAGTCAGGGAGGCTTTTTAATTTGCAAGTTTAAAATAGACATACATATATATATATATGCAAATATGTGCTTATATATATTTATAATGTATGTTATATTTATGATGAGAAAGGCAGAGTGGAAGAAGTTTGCCTTGTCCTTTCAGCAGAAAATGGGGAGATTTATGATAGTTTATTTTCCTTGGGAAGTTCAAAATTTCATACCAATACTAGAAAATTCTGTGTCCTACAAACTTTACAGACAATCTTTTCCTTTATCACAGAGATTTCTACAGAATGAGAGAAGCAGAGCCTTTGACAATGATGGGTATTGCAGAACATGATGCAGTCTCTTAGATGCTCAGTGCAGCTGGTCAAAGTGCCAAGGCCTTGAATTTCATAGATTAGTCTGTTAGGTGTTAATGCAGAAATGAAATAAATTGTTGGTGTAGTCACAGTGACCTGGGTTGCAGAAGGGATTTGCTGTAGTCTTCTCTGCTACTCAGAATTTCCCAAATGTTGGAATTTTCATCTCAAGGTATATGGTATCACTCTATTCTAATCAAGAAGCAACGTGCCCAGGCGTAAATGACAGATGCAGGCTGTGATCCAGTGTGATGAGGTAGAGTCTTCTAGCCAGATGGAGGTGACAGAAAGCATTACTTGTGGATGCTGCTAGGCAAGAGCTTAGCTGAAGAATCCTAAAAACGCTACTAAACAGTCAATCTAAGTGATTAGTTGTATCTTTCAACCAGAGAGACCCTGCTGTGACTGTAAAAAAATTCTCCTTGCTTGCACTCCAGAGGCAAACAGGATGATCAGCAAGGATCAGCAAGATTATCTTACCTTCTCTCTACAATAAGAGGACCTCCAGTTGTGCTGGTGAAACACTTTAATTTTCCATGCTATGGTTGAACACTACCATGCCCTTGTCATTGACTCTTCCATGACCTTTCTCAGAAGTGCATGGAGCAAGAGTTGTTGAAAGATGATGTAACTAGGATATCCCTATGCAACATAACATCTGGGTTTTTTTGGTTTTGCCAGAAATGTTAATGAATTAAGGAGTATTTCTAGCCTATCATTTTCCCTTGGGAAACTCACTTGGAAGCATGTGTTTCTAACTGTACAGCAGCATGTACTATGTACACTATGCAGTGACTGCCATCTCTTCCTGCCATACTTCTGGGAGACTAATAAAACTTCATTAGGTGCCATTCTAATTTTTGTGTAAGCATGGAAGCCATGACTGCTGGCTGTTTTCCCTTTCCCCTACTTTAGGCATACAAGATCCACCTCTGCTTGCAAGGTGATGGTTTGGGTTTTCCTCAGCTTCTTTGGCAGATGACAAGAAAAAGCCTAGTTGATTAAACATAAACCCCAGATTATAAAAAAAACCCCCACAAACAAAACACAAAGCCAATCCAATCACAGTAGAGTACTGTCACTAGCAGACTGATGAACAAATCGGTACAAAGGCATCTGCAGAGGATACTCGAGGTTCAGTGATGGGAGGAGACTCCCAGATCTCAACAGACGTTTATACAATGAAAGACAATGTCTGTGCTGATTCCATTCTCCCGCATCCTCATGTTCAACCAGTTTTATTTTTCTTGCTCCATGACTCAAATCTTCAGCTTTATGCAAAACACAGCTATTACTAACCTAATACCCTGTGTTTTATGTTCAGCAGCCCACATTATCACACATATTAGAATCAACAATTCTCAAAAAATTGCACAAAGCACAATTATTAATCAAAGCTAGATTTGAACACTGCATTTCTTGTGTAATGGTCATGTTAATCCCAGCTGCCAGGCAGAGAAAAGACAAGTGACAATACCTTTAGTGCTAGAGCGTGTCTTCAGGCAGAGAACTGGGCTAAAATTGGACGGTAGGCTGAAATGCCTTAAGGGCAGACTTTTATGACCTTGCAGCTCAGAAATAACTCCATGTCCTGGCTGCACCTGGTATCTCCCTGTGTGGGGAGAAGTGCAGGCCCATCACAGGTACTCTTGAAAGACGAGGGCTCAGAAGCACTGAACTACTGGGGACTTAAGCTCAGGAAGAAAAAGCACAATTCCCCCTCAGTTGTAGAAATCAGCCTGTTTGCAGAAAACTTGCCTTCCTAGGAAACAAGGGAGGTTGGACAGGGAAAGTCCATGAAAGGATGTAACTAGCTTTGGGCAGAACCAGGACCAAGTCTGATCCTGGAGTTTCCATCTAAGAATTTATCATGATGAAAACAGCTGCTACAGCAATGTTGAGGTTATGGGGAACTATATTTCATACATGGTTGCTTATTGTTCATAAGTAATGCATGCAAAATTTTATGGGCTTTCCAAACACTTCTCAACAAATCCTTATCAAAGGAGTTACCAATTTATATCTCTGTCATTATTCATGCAACATTCAGTGCAAACAGATGGATATTGAAACAGCAGTGGGTGGTCTCTTCGTTTTATAGTAATAATGTGTTTCATTAATCTGCTACAAGATCAGGGTAAAATACTTAGCAAATACCCTGTCATTAATAAGTTCAAGGCTTTTCTGAAATCATGATGACCTGTGAGTAAGCTTCTCAGGTCAATTTTCAAACATTACAGACACTTTAGCCAAAGCGGAGCAGCCGATCTCTTTCACTAGACTTTTAAAAAGAGACAATTTCCTTCCTGACAGTAGAGCAGTGTTACCTTGTCAAGATGTCAATAGGGGTCCACTTCTCTATGATAACAGCAAAATTCTGTCCCTTACTTCTATTACAACCTTCTTTGCATGGGGAGTTCAGGTCCTAAGCAAGGGGAGCAAAATCCAACCTAGTTCAGCCTCTCACTGAAATGGCATAATTTACATTTTATTTGTTCACTAACCCATGGCGTGCGAACAAAAGAAATAGTAGTGATCCAAGAGCCATTCAAGCATCAAGTTAATTTTAATGTTCATGAGACAGGGGCAGGGAGAAGAAGAGGTTGAACGCATACTCAAAGGCCTCTCAGAAAATCAGCAGCAAAGACGAGATCAGGACCTCATACCTCCACATCATACAGTGCCTCAAAAGCAATGAGCATTTGATTTGCTTATAATAGGACTGGTAAAACAGAGACAGAAGGAGATTTCCCCCTACAGATAAAAATGAAAGCCCTCCCCAAAACAACCCTCTCTTTCTTCAAAAAATGATTTTAAGAAAAATGGCCCCAATCTAGAGGCACATACAGAAATCTCTCAAACAAGTCAACAAACATCACTGGCACTCACCGTGGCATATAAAGCTGAGTAAATGCTCAAAGCAGCATGTTTAGATGGAAAGGATCTCCTTGCATTTTCAATCACCTCCACATCCCCAGTGCAGATGTTGCCGTTGTTTATGAACTGGTGGTGGGCCCGACAGTCATTTCCAGTGTAGTTGGGTTTACACACAGTCAGGAAGTAGGGAGCCAAGTTCCCAGTCACAACCTGGCCAGCGTTTACAAATATGTCAGTGGCAAAAAGTCCAAATGCAAACACTCCTATGAGAAAAGGTTAAAAATAATAATTATTCAAACAGGTTTAAAAAAACTTTGGTGCCTGAAAGAAGGACACATAATGAGAGGTAAGGGACAAAACCCTGAGTCACTACCCAGAAAAGCCCCTGCTGACTCAGCACAGTCCTGCATCAAAGGCATGACACAGAAGACTGTGCTCAACTCTGACAGGCACTCCAGAAGGACTCAGAAACAGGCTGAAAACAGTAAGTATGTGCCCATACTATTCCTGTAAAGATTCCACTATGACAAAGGCTCACAGCCTGCAGTTGTGTCATGTGCCCAAGTTGTTAAAAACATTTATGCATTTCTACCACATCTGGGCCAAAAAATGGTAATATAGCAGCTCTGAACCTGAAAGAGCAGTGTAGTGCTGAGACATAATACTGCATTTATCTTAACATGACTATCTAGTGTCACATACCTTTTGAATTTTGACTATTCACCATCCTGATGCTGGAAAATTAAGATCCTAATCTAGTAATATTCGCAGGTCCTTTGGGAAAAAGGAAACATGCTAATGCTATGCTCTGGAAGACATTTCCACACAGCTGCAGTTCACCTTATTTCACTGGGAGCACATACCCAAAAATGCTATAGCAGAAAGCATTCACTTGAACCCAGGAACATTTCCAGGGTTGTGGAACATCCCTTGCTTGATACTGCAGTTGTCACATCCACCACTGACTCCCTATGAGTATTACCTGCTACAGCTGCTATGAACATATATGAGTATCTTTTACTTGCATATACTGCCTACATATCAGAGGAACAGAACAGCAGGTTTGCAGAAATGCCAAACCCTAATGTTCCAAAAGACTAAATCAGGTCTCCTTTCCCCCTTCTCATCACTAAGGTGGATTAAAGTGTCACAAAAATTTAGAACAGATAAATATTTACTTTTGGTGTGGGAATGTTGAGGGTCATATTTTTGCTTTCTCCCTCCTGTATCTCTGTAAGCAAAAGTAATTTAAATTATAAGTTATCTGAGATTGCTGTCTTTAAATATGACCAAGAGCTGGAGTCCCAGGTAAAACATCTTAGGAGAGCTGTGATAAAATCTTAAGAGCTGGCATCACCATGGTTGTAACAACTTCACTGGTTATCTGTACTGAGCTTAAGAAAAAAAAAGGAAAAAAGAAAAAAAGACTGCTATAGTCTGAGAAACAAATAATATCAGGGAGTCATCAATATAATGCAGCAGAAAATGCTTTACATCAGATTAACAAGAATCAAGGATTGTCCTGCAGATATTGTCACCCACCGTGCAGCTAACAGAAAGCAGAAGGACTACAGCTCACAGAGTTAATTCCTTCTAGACATTCAGGACCTGTCTACACACAGGACTCTTGTATAGACAGTAATATAAAGTAAAGTAAACCCCATAACTAAAAATGGATTCAAGTGGCAAGTGGGGCTTGGCAGTGCCACTCACTCATGGAGATGGTGTGGTGTGACTGATACAGCTGTGCTGTAACACAAATCCCTCACTGGGGCACTGATGAGAAGAGCCCTCTCCTTGGGTAGCAGCCTGGAGCAGCTGCAGGAGAGCAGAGTAGTTTGTCCTCGCCACACTCCCCCAAGGTTAGGAAGGAGCCTTACCACAGTGAAGATGATTTGGGGGACTGAGTTTATTACTATTCATTATATAAGTCTATTATTATTCATTATTAATGAAACAGATGTGTGATCATGGATTTAAAAAGCCCATAGGAGGTAGCCTTCCCTTGGTTCTAGACTGCAGGACTAGCCCCTGTCATTTCACTGGCATGACAGTCTTCCCCGCATTTATCCTGCAAAGTATCTGTCTTTAAAAGGGAAATGGAGAGAGCACTGACACTGCTCCTTTATTTCCTTATCCCTCTGCTAATATTTTAAATCCACTGGTTTTCACAGCCAGCAGCAACTCCTCATCTACATTAGCCAGTGCGCAAGCAAGAAAAAGGCACATGAAAAAGGCAGTAGGAATCTCTTCAGCCTGGTGAAACAGCGAGTTATGCCAGAGATTAATCTTGTTTTATATACAGCTCTTTGGCCAAATTCTTAGATTTTTTTTGGCACAGTTTGCTTTAAATGGCATCTTTTTGATGTGCTGTGCAAATCACAGGCAATGCAGTGATGATTATTATCAGCACTTTACAATACTTAGAGCAAATCTAACAGCCAGGCAAATACTGCAGTCTGGCCCATGGTCTTTATTGTGTAAGTACCAGTCAAGAATCAAGGTGTTTCAGAAAAAGCTCATGGGCTTCACAAAGTTATTTCAATCTTGAGCCAGTGCATAGGTACCAAGGCGGTCCAGTGTTTTTCTCAAAAAGAAAAAAGAAATTTCAACACCTGCATTTTGTCAATATTTGGTAGCACTGAAAGTGCTGAGGGCTGCAGTACTCCGCAGAGCAGCAGAACAAGCCATGGTTGAAACCTTTATCATGCTCTGACTGTGATGCATATTGACCACTGTAATTCCCCCCTTGCAGTTGTGCCAAACTGTGCCTTATGAAAATCATAGCTATGTGCAGCAATGAATTTGGCTAGCAGGAATTTAACCCTTGCAGACTGATTACACATCACTGAATCTCTGGAGACTTTGAGATAGGGTTGGCTGTAATGGATTTAAAGGCTCTAATACCAGTGAGCCTGGGTAGTGGTGGAGAGTCCCCTGATGGTTTTTGTACCTCAGGAATCCATCTGTTCAATGGATTTGTTCAATGACCTACAGCAGCTAAACTAACTGACCAGAGCACGAGAATGCAGTGACGTGATTGCCAGAGTTTTAGAGGCAGGCAAATTGCTGCTGAAAGGCTTCATGGGAAGGGCAACTAGCCCTAGCTCTTCAGGGTTGCATAACTGAAGTCCATGATATAATGCCACAGAGAGAGAATTGGAGAACATGTACCACTTCCAGACTTTGATGCTTAGATGTAATGGGAGGTGATGTCATCCTGCTAAGGAGCAAGCGTTTTATCTCACTGGGCTCACTCTGGCCTAGAACACCTGGGAGTGAACTTTAGTCCAGAACTTGGCATATGCTGAGAAAAGATGTAAACAGTGCAAGCCACATGGGAAGAAGACCTACATCATCTACAGTTGTTTACTAGCAGAAAGGATGGACAAGGGTTAATTTCACTTACTTAAAGCCACTCCTTCCCTTCGTGCACTCGTGTCACACAGTCTGGCTGCACAAAGAGGCCTTAAAGCAGGAGCTTTTCCTTCTGGAAAGGCTTTTGTGACTTTTTGTCAGTGTCCTGGCTCTCAGCTGTGTTTGTGTGCATCAGAAACAGCCAGCAAGACTGGGCTAGGCAAACCAGTAAGCAGAATGTAACTGGGAGAGAGACTAATTTAGGCCAGAGATAGTGGGTAGGCTATACTCCCTGCTACTCTTTAGCAGGCCCAGAGTCCAAGAAGAAGGAACTGAGCATCAGACTTGAACATATCTTTACCCCCAGTGAGAAAGACCTTAGACAAACTAAATGTGCAAACAAAACAAACAAACAAACAAAAACCCAACAAGGAAAGTCCTGTTCAAGAACGCTGAGGACAGACAACATGAACTTTAAACTGTCCCAGCTCCATCTCACCTGAACTAACACTTGCCTTGGCAGAAGAATGTAAATCTTCAGCAACTTCAATTTTGAATGCTTCAGTTTTAATTTCTCCACTTACACCTCCCCCTAAACTGCTGCCAAAAAGCCCTCCAAGCATGAAGCCATAATTTCTGGGCTCTCACAGGCTACTCTAATGGTCTTTCTGCTACCAAGCTCTCTGTGTGGCTGTTCATCAGTGTTGCCACCTCCAGCTCTGTCTATTGCTTCTGCTAACAGAGACTTCTGCCCTGAAGAAAAATCCAGCTCTCCTCGCTCTCTGTAACCTCAGTACAACCCTGTCTTCTCCCTGCAGCTCATGCTCAAGCTCTCTCTTCTTTCACCCAGAACCTCTCTAACATCAGTGACTGCAGCTGCTTGTTGACTCCATGGAAACTCTATTACAGACATTTAAAATGCCACTGAGTTAAAACAAATAAAACCCCAAAGAAACAAAACACCAGCTAAAAAAAAAAAAAAACCAACAAAAAAACCCTGGAAGTTGCAGAAGAGCAGCTGAAAAGACATCGGGAAGACAGAAGTGAGAAGGTAGTGGGTGGAAATGAGAGTGAGGAGGTAGAAGACTTTATTAGAGAAAAAACATGAAACCCTTAAGTAAAGCAACAAAAGGAACAATGCATTTAAGGGCTCGTGAGACATCCAGAAGCTGTGCTCTTGGGTAACATACCATCGTGTCTTCTACCAAGTGCATTTATTTAGGCATTCCTCTCTCTCCCAGTGCCCATTCAGTTGTCTGGATTTGTCACACTCAACCTAATTTGCTTGGAAAACGTTCACATTACACATGCACACTCACACTTCCCTTACCCCTTTCCCACCCCTATGTTTTTTGAAAAAAGATTAGTGTTTCAGTGGAGGGAGTCCCTGGAAGGACTCATGGCTCTATGGAAACGCTGATCCTCAGCCCAGCCCTGAAGGTTTTGCTCTAATGGTCCTGTGCATCCAATAAAGACACACATTTACAGTCCTGTGACTCAGATTCTGCTAAACCACCCTTCATCATTATATCTTAAAGAGTGTTGTTAAAGATCCGTATCATTAATCTATTTTACAACTGGAGGGATAGGGGGTGCAGGGAAATTTATTGTGTGTTGCCATGGCATCAGGAACAGGCCCAACAGCAAGCTTCTCCCAAGCACTCATTATCTGATCCCAGGATTGGCTTTGATCTCCCAGTGAAGACCCCACAAAGCCCACTGCTCCAGACATCTACTGCCTCTTGTATGTGCCTGCTTAACCTGTGAGTGTCCCGCCTGGATACTGTTCCCTGAAGACGTTAAGGAAGACATATGGTCTAGGCAGGCAAGAAGAAATTCAGTTCCCAGTGCACAAGTACTCTGGAGCCTCAAGACTCCTGCCCGTGGACACATGGGACTTTCTGCTTTCTCACTGCTTCACAAGTATCAGTTTTCATGTAGACAACAGCCAGCTCAGAGCCTGGCATAAAAGGGAACAGTAAGATTTAATTTGTCCCCAACACAGTGACCTGTTTCTCATCATGGAGGTTCTTCAGTGATAAGAAGGGAGACCTAGAGTAATTTAAGCTGCTGCAGCAGTTTAGGTTAGAGGCGGCACACCCAAATATAGCTTGAGCCCTGCTGAAAGGCAACTAAATAATTACAGAACGTGCATTGTTTCACAGTGAACTTGAGATCCAAGGCAGACAGAAGGATAAGGTCAGGCAAACTATGTCCTGCAGCTGACTAGGGGACTGACATCAGAGCTCTGGGGTATATCTATCCTATTACAATAAAGTCAATGTGCGTATAAATCTTGTAAACCTTTATTTGCTGAACTAAAGCCTTAATTTGGTGAAATAAAGCCCTAATTTCATTATTTGGCTGCCTACTGTGAGGTGTCACCATGCTTTAAATTAAGTAGTCAGAGGAAGCTGATCTGCGCCATTTGTTAACTGCAAATTATACAGCTCCAAAGTAAAAGCCACGGGTAATAAATTCATGAAGCACATTACATTTCTAAATATATGGACTGGAGAGAGGCTACTTGCATGTTATCAGGGCTTTGCAGGTATACAACTTAATCACACGGATTAGAAACCTAATATAATGAAATACAACACAATACACACTCTAGTCACCCTGCCAAACTAAGTCAGAGAGGTCTGAATCCATGATCCTGGGGGTATGATAGCAGCTCTATATAAACAGACTAAATCCTTGACTGAAACCATTCACTAAATAACGCTAAAATAATTTATAACCTCTATTTGCAATACAAAAAATGAAATAGAACACAGAAGCAAATACAAGATGGCAAGATGTTAACGAAGTACTGAATGGCAAATTACGAGAAGAAAGGCTGAATAAAAATATAAAAGGCTGTGTGTACCCAAGTTGGGAGACAGGGAGAAGAGGTAGAGGCTTAAGAAACAACTACTCTTCCACCCTGGTTCCTCAAAGGTCCAGCACGTAAACAGTGAATTTTTGGCAGCAGAAATTCGTAATAAAAATGCTGGGAGTGATGGGGAGAGAAGGGAGGACAGATGATGTGACTAAAGAACAGCAGTGCACCAATATTTTAGACAGAAAAAACTGCTTCAAAGCAATTGCACACCACTTGTTTGGCCTGAAAATCTTCAAAATAAATGTCTGTAGAAGCATCTATAAAAGGTAAAGAGGAAGATGGAACAAATTGCAACATATATCAAAGTCTGATGTTTCCAAGCTAAGCAAGCTTTTTTTTTCACTGAAAAAGGAATTCATATTCTAAATACAGGGAACATAGCAGGTTTCACCTATCTAGGCTGCAGTAAAGGACTTGAGGTACACAGATGCAAGCTGAGAGGAAGCCCTTCATCACAAAAGCAAATGTCTACCAACATGCAATGTCCAAGTGGAGACCAGTGACAAGTGGCATTCCACTGGGGTCAGTATTGGGACCAGCGCCATTTAACATCTTTGTTGGTGACATGGACAGTGGGATCGAGTGCACCCTCAGCAAGTTTGCCGACAACACCAAGTTGTGTGGTGTGGTTGACACGCTGGAGGGAAGGGATGCCATCCAGAGGGACCTGGACAGGCTGGAGAGGTGGGCCCGTGTGAACTGCATGAAGTTCAACAAGGCCAAGGGCAAGGTCCTGCAAGGGGGTTGGGGCAATCCCAAGCACAACTACAGGCTGGATGGGGAATGGACCGAGAGCAGCCCCGAGGAGAAGGACTTGTTGGTTGTGAAAAGGTGGACATGAGCCCGGCAGTGCGCGCTTGCAGCCCAGAAAGCCAACCATGTCCTGGGCTGCATCAAAAGAA